GCTTGCAGGTGCGTGGGCACATGCTGGGTAGTCAATCTAAATCCGTCGGTGTCGTTAGAAATAAGTTTACGTCAAACAGCTCCTGAGTTTTTCCATCCTGGGGGCTGCCCTTCCAGCTCTGCAGTAGATCGGGGAGTAAAATCATCCTCCGATGACCTCAGCAGGTCTGATGGAGGGACTTTCCTCTAGCATCATCTCTCATGTATCACATCTAGAATTTCTCTGACAATCCCCCCAGAGCTAAGTGAACATCTCAAGATTTTTGTCTCCACCCAGGACCTCGTGTGTTGTTTTTTTTCTCAGTCCACGTTCCTGCTCTGCACTTGATTTTTAAGAGGAAGCAGAGCAGCTGTACTGACTTCAGCTAGAAGGCTGCATTTTCTCTGCCTCGACAGCCCTCTTTGCTCAGCTGCAGAGAAGCCAGTGGCTGCCATTCACTTGCCCAGGAATATCCCATGGAAAGCCCATACAGCAAACAGCCACAGCAGCAGTTCCACAAAATCTCTGTCTGTAGCTGTTCTCAGTACCCCGTGTTGGTTGAGCACTGCTAGTGCTGCCCCTCTGCTGCTAGGTCAGCCAAGAGACAAGGAAGTAAAAATAAGCTCTTTCTAGCACCACCTTCCTCACCAAGAAGGACATGCTTACTCCTCCTCTCCCCACGCAAATGCCTCCATTTCTGGCTTTTGCCTGGCGGCTTCCTCCTTGCTGGAGGCCTGCTGCCACCAGTGTCCTGGGCAGGTTTTCTGCAACAGCCTCAGGTAGAGAGGCACAGCAGGGCTGCCCAAGAGAAGATGAGCTGGGGTTGGCCAGAGCCAAGGTGGTAGCACTCGCCAGCCTGGGCAGAGTCCTGCAGCACCTGAGCAGGGCGGGCAAAGCAGGCACTCGCTACAGGTTGGACCCACTGACACACCCAGAGAAGGTGAGGTGATGAACCAGGTACGAGGTCCACCCAGGGACTCCAGGCAGGAGCAGTGGGAGATGGTGCCAGGAACAGGACTGGAAACACAGGTCCAAGGTCCACCCAAGAGATGGGGCTGGACAGAGGAACACCTGGGACATAGATGGGCAGGCACTGAAGACCCAGGGGCCTGAGGTGAAATGGAGTTCCTGTCCCATGGGCAGGATGTGTAGTTGGGGGCCCCAAGGTAGGAAAGTCAGAGTCACCAAGGCCTTAGTGAGTCTCACTTAGATTCTGGTTCTCCTGCGGATCTGAAGTCTCACGTCTGGGGTAAAGTCCTTCCTGACCTGAGACTGGTGTCTTGGCCTCCCCCCCACCCTCAGTGCTGAAGCTCGGCACAGCTGAGGCACAGCATGGGCACCCACACGGTGGGGCTGCAGCAGAGCTCAGCAACGTGGCTGAGCCCTGGGAGAAGAGGCACTTGATCTTTAGGTGCAGGGAGAAAAAAGGAGAGTGTACAAGGCTGATGCCTAGCTCTGGGCTGACCATGGGTGGGGAGAACTGATGAATCTGAGATGAGCCACTGAGGCCCTCAGTCAGCAAACCGACTTAGAAGAGAGTTTTCAGCAGCTGTGTTCAGATCATGTAAGTATCCCCAGCAGAAGGGATTTTTAAAAGACTGCGTGGAAAGCAATTTCCTCATCCTGTAAGAATTTCACAAACTTGGAGAGGGGCAGGGGGAGTTGTCTCAAGCGAAGATAAAAAATAAATACAACCTCCAAACTGAAAAGCAGTGTTTTCATGTTTCACTATTGTTGAAACGACATCTAAGCTGTTTCTAAACCTTTCCCAAAACTTCCCCTCTTCTAACCCTACCCCCCTCCCCCAGAATAAAAGTTACATGACATTCATCTCCTCCTTGCGAGTGGCTTCTGCTTTGACAAGTCGGTGTGTTTCCCGACGACCGAGCGTTTCCGCAGCAGACTTCCCGACCCACGTTGTCGGGAAGCATTAACCCTCGCCACCCGCACTGCCCTGTGCCCGCCCCGCAGCAGCCGCCACGCGTGGCCTTCGCTCGCTCCCCTCCCGCACGACGTGTGCGGCGGCTGGAGCATCCCCGGGTGATGCCCGCGGGAAACCCCTCCTGGATGGGGGGCG